TATATAATTACCAATGAAATATCTATTTTTCTCTATTTCGAAAAATTGATATCTTCACACGTGAAAATAACATGTTATTTTCACGTGTGAAGATAACACCATTGCGATGACTATTCAAAAATTCACGGAAATAATTGCCTGAAAAAGCCAAAACATACTCCATTGATAATTATATAATAAACAGAATATTACATGGGCGCTTGGAGATACGAAATTTATCTTCTCGTGTTGAAAATCTCTCACTCGTTCGCTGCGCTCACTTGTGAGAGATCTTTTCAACACTCGAAGATAAATTTCGTATCTCCGCGCGCCTATGTAATATCCTCTATATATTTGATGGATATTTCTATTTAGAAAATATTCACGATATTTAAAGTGATTACCATCCTCGGTAATTTGGCCGCCATCTTGGTGCACAACGAAGTGACGGAGATGCACAAGATAGCGGCCCCATAACATTTCACATTAAATAAAATGATGGCAGCCATAACAGGAGGCACAACTATAGAGTCTCATTCCCCTTGGAAACTGAATTCTTTCTCCTTTAAATCATAAAAGACAAAATTCAATTGTTCCTACCTCCTGTCATGGCTGACATCACGTGATGGCGCAAAGCCTCTATGTCTGAAATGATGACAAAGTATTTACCTGCGCCGCCGCAAAGAGCGGTGGATTCATCGGACCCGTCACCGCAGTTATTGACACCGTCGCATAAGTTACTCCTAGATATGCAGTTGTTATTATTGCACCTGAAGTGTCCATAAAAGCCTGAACAACCTTAAAAAGAGTAGTTGAAACAATGAATGATATATATTACTTATGGTACGTTTATGATTTAATTATTGTTAAGTTGCTTCCATCCAAAACCTCTATAGAATGTACCGTACAAAAGTCTATTATATACTTAACAAATAACACAGCTTTTTCCGTGCTCCGTTCAGTTATAAAGCACGAAGAAAGTGACGTAAGCACGAAAGAAATGTAAGGAGAAGCGCGAATCGTAGGCGAGTGCTTCTCACACTTTTTGAGTGCTTACCGAGCTTCCTAAGTGCTTTATAACTAAACGGAGCACGGAAAAAGCTGTTTTATTCGTTTTATTATGTAACTACTAATTCATTTTTCGTTATTGACCTTATTTACGCAAAAAGAAAGAAGCTCGCAGGATCTAACAGCACTTCGCGCGCGCGGATGGCGTCAGCACTTTGCTTCGTTCACTAATAAAGCACAGTTTTTGACCAAACAGCGCGCGCGTACTATCCTAACTATAAAATAATCTATGATATGATTAGTATTATTTATTATCTCATTACTTACTTGCCGGGCAGTTTCTTTCATCTTCTCCATTAGAACATTCGGTATAACCGTTACATCTGTTTCTACTTGATATGCACTGGGAGTTACTAGCACACATATAGAATCCCCAAGTACAAGTGTTGGTGGCTGTTGCCAACTCTGTAATAAACGTAATCAATCATCATCATCATCATCATCATCATCACCCTCATTTTTTTCATTTTAACTTCTTTTTTTAATTATCGTTATCATCATTCTTACATCACCATGTCTTTGTTATTTTTTAATCATTCAGTTCGTTTCCAAGTCATCGCCGCCGTTAACAAAAGATTCCATCACAATTTGTTCATTTTCAAATTCTCTTTATGTAAATAAATAGATATTTGTTTACATAAAGAACAAAAGCTGTTTGCTTTGCAAAATTAAACTAATATTCATATGTCAGCGCCATCAATCAATGCTCAACTCGAAAAATGCGGAAGTTAAAACCGATGGATTAGACTAGTCTAGATGTCAATATCCTTGACTCCTTGACTGTTTTCAAACTACACTATCAATATTATACTTTAGAGGCTTTCGGGTTGGCGATTTTATATTAATTATTATCATGAGTTTTTAAGTCGAAAAACACGAGTGTAATATAATACATAAATTGACGTTTTGGCTATATAGCATTATGATAATGAATTAGAGTAAGTTGAGCTGTTGAAGCACAGATGATAGATTGGTTTTACTTTGCCCGTGAAACAAAGTTGTATAATTAGTGAATATAAGCATGTACAGTCAAAGTATAACGAAAGAAAACAACCGAATTAGTGTCTACAACTACGTATTACGTTGACTATACTTTCCTGGGTAAAGTAAAATCACTCTAGAGTTGTGCACCCTTGGCAAAGCTCCAGGTTAAGAAGACGATAGTTCGTCAATGCGGAATTCTAATAAGAAACTCACTCAAAGTATAATTGATGACCTGCAGCATTCACAAGAGCGTCAATTGACAAAGACATGGTGGCCATATTGTTGCTGTTAACAATGGATGCTAATGAGAAATCTTTTGTTGAATACCATGAGCATATCATCAAGTCTGGGTCCGCATATTTTTTAAAAGGAATTCCATATTGTCCCCTAGAAAATTAGTTTGCTACGACCTCGAGTATCATGAACTTTTCATGATTCTTTTAAAAATAAAGAAATTCAAAAGTTTAACGATAGATCTTGGTCGATGATGAAGAAACATTTATAAGTTTTTAAAACGTCTTTGCTATTTTATTTTATTTTATTTTATTTATTTTGCACCTGCACGTTGTCAATGATAAACCCATCTATGATTTGAAAGACAGACCGTACAAAGTGACTGAGACGCGCGATTAGCCTAGGCTCACTATCTTATTATTAGAATACCAACGGTTTGCACAAAGTTTGATTTCATGATGAAACTTGTTTTTCATTCTTGTTTTTAAAAGGAGTGTTTATCTTGGAGTGTTTATCAATTTGAGTGTGAATTTTATGACTTTTGAGTCTTGATATTTCACTTCCGGTTCAAGATGGCGTCATTTTGCAACATTCCCAATATCTTACTTCAGCACCATATTTCAGCTTGGCACTATATCACATATTGATTAGCATGCTATATTTCCTGAAAATTTGGTACCAAAAGTGAACAATCCTAGCACATTTCCGCCCCACTAAAATCAATCCGCAGCACTTCACTTTCAATCTGAAATGACTAGTAAAAATTATAATAAGCTGGCTATCTTATGAGTACATTACTAACGTTTTCCTTGTTGTACGTGTTTGCTTTTCAGAAGTGTTTATGCGTGTTGCTTTTCCCCCGAATTTTGTGATGTCTTGTTGTCAGGAAGAAAACAGCATTAGACGACGTAATCCGAGAGCTTCCTGGTTCAACACTCACAAAAAATGAACGAAAACGTAGTAAAACCGAAATAATTGCTTATGAGAAGTCGTGGACTTACCAAAGAACGAAGCCACAAGAAGAAGCAAAAAGATAAACCCTGTTTTAGCCATCTTAGTA